TTTCTTTAGAGCCAAGTTCACAAGATCACTCTATATCAAAAAATATTAAACCAGGACAGATTATGGAATATATGGGGGTTAATGGTTCTGTAAAGTGTATTATTAATTCATTCGACATTAATGAGGTATCACAATATTTAGCTCAGTTGTGTGATATAACCATAGATGCTGAAGATCGAGCTTCGAAGGTTAATCAGGAAGAAATTATGTGCTGGTCTCTTTATGGTAAAAATTTTGAATTTCAAGTTGATGAGATGAGTAGTAAAAATAAAATCGGTAATAAAAAAGCAAGAACCTTAATTTATAATGAAATTGAAAATCAACTCTCTATTCTTCGTAAAAAACGATCACAAGATTTGGGCTTACAACTTCCAAATATATCACGAGATACCTTGCGCAAAAAAACTCAAAGAGCTGTAAAAATTTATAAGTTATTCAAAAAGATAGATTTAGACAAAATTAAACATATTAAGAACTATAGTGCAAATTCAATCTCAGAACTTACTAACGACCAAATTCAAGAGATTATTAATTATGATTCAGAGAGCCAAATCTCTAATTCTCCTTCGCTTGAAATTTCTGGGATGGAGCCGTCTCGAAAAATCTCATCTCACATCGAGGTAAATGATTCGGTATCACTGTGTCAGCTTATGACAGAAGCTAAGGTAAGTATACCACCCGTATCTCATACCGAAAAGGTTTTATCGGAAACCGAGATAAATGTATCATCTGCATCATGACCCAATAAAGATTTACCAAAAGCAAAGGTAAATGTGCCATTCAAATCTCAAACTGAATCAAAGACCTTACCTGAAAAAAAACAGAATAATCTGATCCATGACCGTGTTTATTTTCGTAATAAGATAGTGTGGGGATATTCTAATCTATATAAAGAATTTAGTAGTGAAAAATTTGATTATTATGGAATTCATGAGGGGTCATTATGCTCAATGTGCAAACAAAGTCATGAGGAAGGAAAAAGTATAAAAGGTAGATACGAAGCTGGATCCTATTTTATTAAATGTAAACAACAAGAAATTGAAATAACTGCGTAAGTAAATAATTACATAAACCTGGTCAAGTGGATAGCGATATTTTTTTTCTTGATAGCTACGTGATTTTGAATTGACTAGCATTAATATAAATCGATAACATGTCTTCTGATACTACCTCCAGCAAAATATTAACTGATGACTATTGCAAATGACATGCTAATTTAGTTGATTTATCAAGTTCTCAGACAGATAAAATTCATTCTAGGTTATATAAAGCATATATGGAAGAGATTGGACTCGATCCTTGGATAAAGTCTGAAACTTCTGAATCCCTACAAAATGAAAATGCTGATAATCATATCATACAAGACATTTCGTTGGAAACTCAGGTAATGGCACCAAACAAAAATTGTCTTTATCAGTATGCTATCAAACATGGAATAAATCCCAAAGAATTTTCGATCATTACAGAGGCTGAGAAAAATAGATGGGCCATGGGATGTTTTCGTGGAGATTTGAAAAGAGATATACGTTTCTATCGTGGTGGAATAGAAAGAAAAGAAGATCCTAGAAAATATCGTAAATTTTTAACAGATCGGGATAGGCTAATCAGAAAAGAGTTATTACGTCACAGTATATTAAAGAGTGGTTTAAGTACTACATGACTAGACGATCTGATGAAAGAATGAGAAGAAATCCATACTCAATTCATACAAATTTTTAGCCAGACATAGCGAGATCCAGAGGTCTTCTATTTTTAATAATTGGTGCAAGTAGTAATGTCGCACCACATGTGATTTTTTCTAGAAATTCTGGAACTTTTCTATCATGCGCATAGGCTAAATGTTTAATTTTATTGCTTACACCTAACGTGTTGTTTTATTATTACGAAACGAAATACATATTGTAGTTACATGGTGCAAAAAAATCTAGTATTTTGTTATGAGAATATGGTAGACATCTTGTGGAAGATTTTCTTCTTCTGGAAAATAATTAAAAATTGACATATTATCCAACATGGATCGATAATCTACAGGTGTAGAACGAAATGCACGAAGAAAAAAAACAACATTATTATATGGTTGTGGTAACCAATCCAGGATTTGTTTTTTAAGAGTGGGAACTCCAGCACCTCGAGAAATTGAAATGTCAAAATTAGTAATGTTGCGTGGAATACCAATAAATGAACCAGTAGGAATAACAAGACAATTAAGAGTAATGTCAGTCATTTTACGTTTCCTAAAAAAAATATCCATAGTAAGTAGAGCTTTATTCATATAATCATAATTAAAACGAGATATACCTGATAAAAAATACAGAAACTTGTGGAGCTGGGAATCTTTGATTCAAAGTAAAACGTCAGAAAACTCTGCTTATTTATAACACTCATTATGTTCAACCTCAAACCTGCTAGAAGAAAAATAATATTGTGTCATTTAGCCATCTGCTAAAATGATTCCGAAAATTAATGGATTCCTTACCTTGTGTAGCTAGTTCATAAATGCCAAGAACTCAACAAAGAAAAGAGTTATGAATATATTGCATAATTTTTGGAGGTTTCATTCCCTTTAGGATTGAGATCTCCTGCAAGACAAAAATTGGTTAACGCAATGACGATCTGGAATCGCGGAAATTTTGAACCCCATAACTTGAAATTTTTGTTATGAAAATTAATAGATATTGTCAAGCCTTTCCTCCTATAATGTTTTGAAGCTTCATTTTCGCGCGCCTCATCGCAAAAGCATGTGTGAAAGAAGACATTTTCCTATGTAAAATAAAGCGAAAAAAAATAACAATTATCTATGTAGTACAGTTACACAATTACGCATGTTCCACAAACTTCTATCTCTGATTCGCAGATTTAAGACACATGACATCGCTCTCCTGAGGTCCTGCAATAGGCTTTGCCCTATAACGTGATGTAATTTCGCAGTTATAATTATTTTCAGATTGAATTTGCTATATCCACTTAATTTATATATTTATGCATTATTTTCCGCATTAATTATATTACCATATTATAACAATCATAACGAGTAATACTAATAATAATACTGATCCAAGTAAAAAATTTTCTCAATTATATGAGGTGTTTTTATATAAGAAGAAGGATATAATAGCAATTCAAGAAAAACTTGGTATTAATAGTAATACATTAAAGCAAATAGAACACGAGCCTGATGAAAAAACACTTGCTGATTCATATGAATTGTTGT